GCGCTCCCGAGGAGGCGTTGGTGGTGGAGGTGGGGGTGGACGTGATGGTCGTACCTCGGGTCGTGCTTCATTCAGTTTGGAAGCGGCCAGTAGCCCGCGAGGTGGGTGGGCTGTGGGGGGGGGGAGAGCTGGCTGCATGTGTGAAGGTTGCAAGTGTCTGACCACTGCCCAGGGGTTGCTGCCCAGCCCCAACGGAAAGCTCTCTCCCGCGGACGGGAGGGGCAGGGGGAGGGGGAGGGGGGCCTTTGCCCCCACCTAAGCAGCCGAGAGCCGCAGGCTCGCTAACTCCGCTCTTCGCCCCCTCCGGGGATGCGAGGCGTCGCGTTTGTGTGTATGTCTGTGCGTCTGTGTGCGTTTGTGTGTGAAAATGGACTGAGCGCGGGGAAGAAGGGTTGGAGAAGTGGCGTGCATGCCATTTCTAACCGGAGCGCGTGTGTGTATGGGCTTGGGTTGGGTTGGGTTGGGTTGGGTATAAGGATGTCGGGGTGAGGACACCTGGCAAAGCATAGGTAGATGGAAGTGCGAGGGCGGGGAGGCGGACGTCAGGCGGAGGTGGGGGTAGATGGCCGTGCGTATAGGGTTCGGTCCAAGAACATCAGACTCAACATGATGCTGTCTGTAAGTGTAGCAGCTGGCCGCTGAAAAGGCCTCTCGAGATGCTGGTGGTCGCGCTCTGCGCGTATTTATAGAGCCGTACTGTGTACCGGCTGCTATAGTAAGGAAAAGCTGGGAAAGCTCTACACGCTGTAGATGGCGGTGTGTGACCTGCCCCGTGCGGACGGAGAGTCCCCCCGGGTTGACGGAGATGAGAATGGCACCACACGTCGGCACCGCACCGATATACATACATACATACATACATGCGTCTGTTCTGGGAGTGTTTCAAGAGGAAACACCCCCCCTTGCCCTCATGTCCTGTTCTGTCGGGTCGGTCCTCGCACACTGTGCCCACCGCCAGCCCACTGCGTCCCTCGCTTTTTATTGCCGTACCTGCGCCGTACCTGCGCCGTATTGCAGGATCGTCTAAGCTGGCGCCTCTAATTGCTACACTCCACGACCGGTTGAAAGCAGCCCAGGTGGGGCGGGCGGGGCTGGGGAGTGGGAGCGCAGGGGGGAGGAGGTGTGGAGGGTTTGATGGCCTAACAAGGACCGGTTGGTTTCGGAGCACCTGGGCATTCTGCGTGCTTCATAGGGGATTGCCGTGCACTGCACTGTATACGCGCGTGTATGCGCGCGTGTGTGTATGTTTGTAGGTATGTGTATATGTGTCTGTGCGGTGCTCCGTGGGCTGTGCGCGTTTGGTACGTACGTGTTTTGCAGGCCTCCCCCTACGACGCTAGCCAACCGAAACCGACCTGACCGACCCAACTCCGAGATCAGGCTGGGTTCCTGACTCAGCCTGTCTTCGGGACTGATATTCCCCCTCTCAACTGTGTGCATCGTACATATTCGTACATGCCGTACAGGCGGAGCAGATGGCCAACTGCCGGGCGGCATCCCGTATGCAGGACCTGGAGAGCATCCGGATACTTGAACAGGTTGGTGGACTTCGTGTGTGGTGGGCGCTGGTGGTGGTGGTTGTGGTGTGGGGATGGGAAACAACGGGTTGCGCGTTGGGCCCAAGGGGTGGGGGGTGGGGAGAGAAGAAGAGAGATGTATGTGTTTGCTGTTGCATGCGTTATGTTCTCCGTGAATGGGGGAATAGCGGACACGTCGTGGTGGGGTTACGGGGTGGAGGTGGGCAGAGGCAGAGGCGTGGTCACAGGTCCCTGGGTAGTTGGTTAGTCCGTTAGTGTTGGTGTTGGTGGGGTAGAAGGGAGGTGTTATTGATGAGTGATGGCATCCGTGGCTGCGGGGGGCTTCACCCCTCACCCAACGCCTGATGCCCCCTCAATCACAACCCGTCCGAACCCTAAACCCCTCTCGTCCCTCGGTCCTCCTGATTTGTGATTCCTGCTTCTGGGTGCCCCTTCCCCCTTCCCCTTTCCCCAGCCGCAGCACTCTTTACTTGGCAGCAGCTTCACTCGCCCGTGGTTCGTCTTTCCCCCCTTTTCCATCCACTCCCCCCACCCCGCGTTCGCCCCTCGCGCTCGTGTTGGTGCTCGTGCTTGCTTCCCCGTCCAGCCACTCACTGGTTTCCTTATCCTTCCTCCCTTTCCATTTATTGCCCCCTCCCCCTAGATTGGCCGTGGTGGCTATGGTGTGGTGTACCGCGGGCTGTACCACGGGTCGGAGGTGGCCATCAAGGTCATTCAGGAGGTGAGCTCTGAGGACGTCGTGATTGCGATTACACTCCCCCCTGGAGCCAGCTAGTTCTTTTTTAGGTACCCCGCTGCCATGCCCTCTGCCCTTTCCCCTTTTGACCCCCAGGCTGAGGTAGCTGCCCCCGGCGGCTCTGGGAACCCGGCGGCTGGAGGTGGGGGTGGTGATAAGGGTCTCCGCCGTATGAGCAGTGTGGCTCTGGAGAACAAGCACCTGCATGACGCCATAGAGCTGGTGGCGTCTGTGGGCATGGGGGGACATCCAAACATTGTGCAGGTGGGCGGCGACGCGTGCGTGTGTGGTGGTGTGTGAGGAAAGGGTGAGGGAGGGAGGGGACTGGGGGAAGAGGGAGGAGGGAGACGAGAGAGGGGTGTATGTGCTGATTGAAGGAGCCACACAGCGGCTTTAGGGGGTTCCGGGGGACAGATGGCTATCTGCTGGGAGGTCGAGTACTCGTGTTCGTGTGTATATGTATGTGTGTGTGTGTCGAGAGAATGTAAATATATATGTACGTATGTATGATGTGTGGGACACGCCCCACATGCCATAGCTCTCCCTGACTCCTGGCCTGCCTGCCTACCTGCCTGCCTACCGGGTTGTCCCCACCTGTCGTAAGGTCCTGACCTTCTTCACGGACGTACGTGTGGTTGTGGGTGATGAACCCGTGGACGCCAACTTCAATCGGCGACTGAGCGGTCTGGACGGGGTGGCCGAGCTCCTCAGACTCACACGCATGCCCTCAATACTGGAGACAGCGCCCTCGCCACCACCACCACCACCACTACCTCCACCACAACAACCAGCTCAGTCAGTGCAGCAGGTGCAGCTACAGCAGCAGCAACCGCATGCGGAGGGTGAGTGCCGCGACGTGGCGCGGCGTGGCGTGGCCTGTACCCCGCCCGGTGCTTCCCCCTTACCCCAATTCCCTCCTCATGCCTATTCGCCATCTTGAAGGCACTGTGGAAAAAAAGGTGTTTTGTTTGATGGCCATTTGATTTTGCATGTGTATGGTTTGCGCATGTGCGTGTGTGTGTGGTGTCGGGTGTGTATTCGGGGGGGGTTTCGTCCGGGGGGGTGGATCTGGGAGGTATTCTCAAGAGATGTGCTTGTTGTTGGTCTGCTTGGCGGATAAACATGGTGCGGCTGAGATCCGAGATACTGAACAAGACACATAATGTGTCATACACCCTGTCCAACGCCGTACATTCCTCTCCTGCCGTACAGGCTCTGTACCGCGTAGCGGCGGCGTGATAGTCCTTGTGCAGGTGGGTTCGGAGCTACGACTAGGTGTTTCCATGCGCAGCAACGACTGGCTCTCAGGACAGGGAGGGAAAGTTAGGGCCGGCCCGCAACGACGAGGAGCAGCACGAGGGGGATTTGTATGCGAATGGGAAATCGGCTCTCCAGGTTTTACTTCTGCTCCAATATGGACTATACTAACTTCACCCAAATTCCGGAGGCTTTCTTCTCCTCCTACATTTGGCGTATCTCTAGTTATTTCCTCTTTGGAAGGACTCGAACTGCTGGCGTCCAAAATCCGGAACTCTTCTGGAGCAGGAAGGGGAGGAGGAAAAGGAGGAGGACAGGGAGGAGGAGGAAAATGGAACTGGCAAAGGAAGTCGGGCGGGTGTCACGTGTTTAGAGGAGTAACCGACATGCTGGAACTGTGATGCTTCGTCAGCACCGTACACGTCTCCATGCTGCTCTGTTTCACATCGCGACGCACACGTATCACTGTACGACTGTGTATTCTGTGGTAAAGAGTACGGACAGCCTGCCTTTCTCATCCAGCCCACCCACCCACACCCACTTACCAACCTTTCGACCTGCGAACATCATCATCATCATCACCCCATGCACCCCGCGAATCGTCAGGAGTTTTGTGATGCGGGTACGCTCAAGACCGCCATCAACCAGCGGGCTTTCTACCGCAATGTGGGCCCTACGCGAGGTGAGGGCGGAGGGGAGGTTCAGGAGGTGGGGGGCGGAGGCGAGCTGCGATGATGATGAGTAGTGATGGCAGGGGTGGCTCTGTTGGTAGTTGCGGTGGTCGTTGTGGTAGTTGTTGAGGTGAATATGATTGAATGTGAGGATGGGCAGGCGGGGTAAGGATGGCGGATATCGGCAGGGAGGGAGGGAGGGAGGCAGAGACGGAGAGACGGCAGACACTCGCGCGGCGGAGCATGGCGCCAGGCAGTTAAATGTCTCTTTTCCAGCCCTTTCTGCTACTGTCACCGCTTCCGCTGTTGCTAATGTTATTGGTAATGCTATTGTTGCTGAAACTGCTGTTTTTACTGCTGTTGCTACCGCGGCTGCTGCTGCTACCTCTGCCCTACGTCGCCGGCCCTTCAGATGACCGACACAGCTATGGACACCTGCAGCTGAACCTCAAGGTGTTGTGGGGGGGGCCCGGGGAGGGTGAGGGCGGATGGGGGGCCATCACGTGTGTATGTATGTACGTAATTTGGGTGATGTTGCGGTACACGGTACACATGTCCGTGTTTTGGGGTCTCGACAATGCGCTCAGGCATTCCATGGTTCATTTTCCCCTCCTCCCCCCCTTACCCCTCCCTCTCATTCCCTTAAACTCCCTTACCTACGGGCGTCCCGCGGTCCCCGCTCCTGGTCTACCTCAACTTCTCCTCTTTGCCTCCTCCCCTCCCCTCTTAACCCCCGCCCCCCCCCCGCCCCCCCGTCCCCCCCCCCTCCTCTTTCCCCAGTCCGTGTACTCTACCCTGCTGGAGGTCGCTCTGGCCCTGCGCCACATGCACGGCCTCCACATGGTGCATTGCGACCTCAAGCCCCAGAACGTGCTGCTCAAGAGCTCGCCCAGGGACCCGAGGGGCTTCACGGCCAAGCTGTCGGACTTCGGACTGGCCAAGATGATGGCGCACGACGAAGAGGGGCAGCTGGTCATTGACGAGGCGGTGGCCAGCGGGTGCGGGAAAAGAGGGGGGAGAAGCACGAGGAGGGGGCATGGGGGAGTCGGAGGGCGTATTGCATTGACGGAATCGGTATGAAACCCAAATGAACTTAACCTAACTACTCAACTGCCTAAAACTACCCGAACCGCCTAACTGCCTAACTGCAGGACTCTGACCCACATGGCACCTGAGAGCCTGGCAGGTAAAAGGGGGTTGCCCCAAAGATTTCTCCAAGATTGGGGCTGGGGGGAGGCAGCCCGGGGCCTTTTGGGGAGGGGGCCCGAAGGAAGGGAAGGAAGGGACTGCTCCCACGTAAGCTTGCGTTCAAGGTCTGTGGTTGTGTGAGGGGTTTGTGTGTGTGGAGAGGGTGGGGGCAGGGGGAATTCGCTAGGGCGATTCGCTTCGCCTTTGGTGTTCATGCGTCTCACGTGTCGGAGGAATATCCAAACAAACCACCTCCCCATCTCCGCTCACCTCGTTCGCGGTTGGGTCCCACGCCTTGCGAGTCAGTTCTGCTTCCCGCTGTAACCTCCTTAACCTCCCGGGCGCCCCTCCCCCGTCCCTTTTCCCCCTCTTTTCCTCCCCTTCCCCTCCAACCCCGCACACGTGTTGAGTTGAATTCAGGCCAGAAGCAGCTGACCGCCAGCATCGACATGTTCGCCTTCGGCATCCTCCTGTGGCAGATGGTGTGCGGCACCCGACTGTACCAGGGGCTCAACACCAAGCAGATCATCCGGGGGGTGGTGCGAGAGAACCTGAGACCGGTGTTCCCGGCCTGGGTGCCCCTGGAGTACAGGTACGGAATACGTGCGTCCAGAACATGACCGGCGGAATGATGTTACTTTTACTAATAATCATAAGGATAATAGTAAAAATAATAATAATGATAATAATACTATTAGAGGATTCCTTCGTGGAGGGTTAGGGTGGCCAGGCCTGGCGTCATGTTCTTCTTTTGGCCTGGTTTGGAACCACCCTATTCCTCTATACTTATTTTCTGGGTGCTATTGTGTGTGAACCTTCCAGCTGCACCCAGCAGGCCCAGCCCACCACAGAGCCACCGCAGTCCCGCACACACCTCCTTCCCTGACCGCGCTTGTCATCAATAAATACTCTTAGCCTTGCCTCACCATCGCATCCCCCCTGCAACCCACCCACTCACCCACCAATCCTGGGTTCCAGGCGGTTGGCGGAGCGCTGCTGGCACGCCACCCCGTCGGAGCGCCCCACGGCCAGTGCCGTTGTGGCGGAGCTGGAAGCTATGATAGAGCAGCACAGCAGAGCTACATCCGCAGCAGGTGCAGGAGGAGGACCAGGACCAGGACCAGCTGTATGGAGGTCCTCGCAACGCGGGCCTGCTGGACATGGACACGGCCACGGGCCACATGGCCACGGGCCAGCCGTGGGGCTCGATACGGTGGGCAGTCCGCGTAACCCACACGGCCACCCGCACGGCCACCCACACGCACATGCGCAGCAGCTACAAAACCTGCACCAGATGCAACACCCCCAGCAACAACAGCAACAGCAGCAGCAGCAACAACAGCAGCAACAACAACAGCAACAAGCAGCAGTGCCGGTGCCGGTGCCGGTGCCGGTGAACTTGTACGGTGGTGGCTTTACTGCAGGCGGCACGGCGACCGGCCCGCACCTCCACTTGAGCCAGCGAGAGGGTATGCCGCAGCGATTGGGAAGTCTCCGAGGCGGCGGTGGTGGGTCCAACACGGGCATGAGTCCTGTTCCTGCCCCATCGGGTCTAGGGCTGGGGCCGGGGAGGCTCATCATCTGACGGCTGGGCTGTAGGGCGCGAAGGGCGGTGAGTGGAGTGCTGGGACCCGGGTAGCCCTCTGTGTGCGGGCTGGGTTGAGTTGCTGCTGCCCTGTGGGGCTCGGTTGGGTTGGGTTGGGTTGGGTTGAGCTATGATGCTTAGTGGCTGGGGGGGGGCAATAGCAGAGGCCGTGTTTGGTTTTGGTTTTGGTTTTGACGGCCTGTTGAAGCGGGGGCTGAAAGCAGCTCTCTGAAAGTGCAGCAACAGGACTCGCGTCGTCTAGCTGTGTGCCGTATACGGACACGATACGTGAACCCCTAATTATCTTCGTGTGTTCACGATGATGATGAAATAGTACTTCGTATGTATTCAGATCGTAGTGACTGTGTTTTTGTACGCCGTCGCATCCCGCTGTGTCCTCCGGCGCCAAACTACGAGGCTGCCTCTCATGTGTGTGTGTATGTGTGCGCTTCTTGCAAGCGCTATTTCATTCTCAGGGAGTTTCATACGGCATACGCACATGCGGTGCGAGAGCCAAGTACAGCCTCTCCCAGGCAGTAGCCCTTTCAATCTCCCGACAACGGGAGCCAGTTAGAAATCGGAGGAGCCGGAACAATGTAAACAGTACGTGTGGGTACGTGTGGGTACAAAATTTATTTCGCAGATTAGATATAGTAGTCTTTTGTGGTGGTAAGCATGAAGGGCCGCTTTGAGGCGACCTGGGGGCTGTATGGATGGTGTTACGTAACTGTACGCGTGGTGGGTATTGATTGCTCAACGTGAAGGCCATACGCGCTGCCGAATGCATGTCGTGCCTGTATGTATGCGTCTGCACGTGCGCGCGTATCATGCTTCGGCCCCACAGACTGCCCCTGGTCGGCATCATATCCCTAATGATGCCTCATGTTCCGATGTCGTGTGGTGCCGGACCTGCAAGAGGGCCGTACCGCCTGTGTCATATGGCAGGAGTTTTTGGGGCCCCCCCTGTGACGGAGGGCAGTACACGGAGGACTGACAAAGCAGCAGCAGTGGCAGTGGCGAGGGTGGTGGTGATCACGATGACGGTGGTGCTAATGGCGTCTATGGTGGCGATTATGGCCTTATGGTGGAAGGTTGGGGCACAGTTCAGTTAGTCAATGGAAATATGGCTAGGGAGGAGGAGGGGCCCGGGGGGTTAATCTCTGTATGTATGTCTAATCTGTCGGCTATTTTGGAGCACCTGTGGGAGGCAGGAGGGAGGGAAGGGATTTGTCGTGTCGTGGTGGTGGAGATGGCTGTGCGATTATAGCTGGGTTGCTGGATTTTGTCGGGCGATTACTGGATGGCGGTTCTTTCCAAAATAAGCATTTGAAAGTTTGTCATCATTTGTTGGCCCTCGGCTTTTTATTTCGTTTGTTCGCATTTTCACCAGTTGGTGCATCAGTCGCGAAGCTGGTGTCGATTGTGGAATACATACGTTGTTAGTGCGGCGGTTGGGACATTCTCCTCAGCAGCTAGTAAAGCTCTCGCAAGGCTGCCAGGGGATTTCGCCCATCCTGGGTTCTCTGGCATCTTCCCATCATCTTCCAACGTCGGATGGTTTCCGTAATTATACACGTAGTTGCGCCTAAGGACGTGTCCAATAGAGGTGGAGCCGTTGTAGGAGGGCGACGAGGGAGGGAGAAGAAGTGAAGGAAGACGACGACCAACTTTGAATGCTCCTGCGTGATCTATGTCTGCTGTGCACTTCATTTCTCAATGACGTGCTGTGCATGTATGCCAATATGTGCATATCAATACCGCGATTCTGTTGTATTATGTGTTCGGAACGACCCGAACCAGTCGAAGCAATTACCAGCGAGAGAAAAATGTCCATGAGGTGTTGCTTGGTCCAAAGATAGGACCCAATAAGGTAGGAGAGCGAGGTATGTACGGGCACCGTACGCGCACGTGGCAACGCAGTTGCGATTTTCATCAAAATCACCATCATGAGTGACGCAGTGAGGGGTTGCAAACATGTAAGTGGCGGATGCGGTGACGGGCTTGCGGGTAGGGGCGCGGGGAAGGGGACGTGTATCGGGCGGGTTCGGACGAGGAGTTGGCATGCAACCCAGGGGCTTGGGGCGCAACGCCATTGCCGAGTGCGGGGTTTGGCAGTACCGCCGCTGTGCATCTGTGTTGTTTGGCTGTGGAAACCGCCAAAGGAGTACATTATGCACAATGATGTTGGATGTTGTTTGGTCGTTGAGTACGGCAATGCTTTCCGCGGCGGCAGGCGCAGTAGGGCTGTGTCCTTATCCCCGGGCCCACGTGTGGGGGGGTCCTTATCCCCTTACGGTACCGGCCATAGCCGCCATAGTAAGAGTATTTTATCGGTTGAAACGCAAATGTGTAGGCAAGGCGGTGGCGTGCTTACTGGTGATGGAGTTTGCTGATGAGGAAGTCAAGATCTTTTGAAAGGTCGTTGCATTTCAGGTCATTGATTCAACAGTTGTTGTAACGGAAATCATCTGTGTACTATGTTCCATTTCAGCCACGCCCCAGCATAACCGACTCGGGCACTGCCACAAGGTGAAACTCATTTTGTGCAAGCTGGAAAACGGTATTACGTCAACTGGTTTGGCTATAGCAGCATGCGCGCGGCTTCTGCGTGAATGAGCATATGACTATCGGACCAAGACTAACATGGTGCGTGTCGGCGAATGTTCAGAAGGCCTGCGCAATGCGAGGGTATGTAATATGGAATATGGCAACTGCCAGCATTTCTGGCAGTATCGTGTGGCCCAGAGTGCTTGTCCGTTTTGCGAACGACAGGGTAAATGCATCGCGGAGCTTGGTTGTTCGGCATGTTAAGAGTCCCAAGGGGAGGGCTTATGCTTCATACTTTCATACGAGGTCGAATTAAAAGACGCCAGAAGGATGCAAAATGATCAGGGAAAGGAAAAATTAGACAGGGATGTGTGTGGCATGTGCACCGACCCAGGTTACGAATTTAATTCAAATGGTGCAATATGCGATAGAATAGTTAAAAACATCCCCCAAATCCGGGTGTGGCGATCAGGCCCTTGTGTGCCGAACTGATCGCATATCGGAGCGCCTCTGGACTTCATCAAGGAAGTAAGCTGAGCACAAAGGCGTTTGTAATTATAAAATACAACAATATGACGGTCACGATATACATACTTGTATGGTAATCCAGTCAGGTTGCAGAGATGTTGAGTTTGTAAGTAACGAATTCGGTTAAGATTTGCATCGGAAAAATCTTAAACAAGGCAAGCGCCTTGCGCTCAGGGGGCTTCCCCGCGGGTGAACTTCGTTGCTTCAAGCTCTCTACGCTTCTCGCTGCTAGCCTTAGCTGTGCAACCACAAACTGCGGTACGGTCCGTCTGGTCCTGGACCATTCATAGGTAAACAGCTCTACCTAGTCGCTCAGCCTTTCATAACTAAGCAGCGGAAATGCTTTTCCTGTATCCTGCAACTACTTAAGGGCAAAGATAACCGTCATATTGAAACCACACGGGCAGAAGAGCTGGCCACGAACATAACATGCGCTGCTTGACTGACTGCTTCGGATTTGGTTGTAATAATAACCTTTCCCGTGGAAGCGATGGTTTTCAAGATTCCAGTTCTTCCTCGGGTGGAGTTCGGTCCGTGCCAGGGGGTCGACGCGCTGAAGGAGAACGATGCAAGGAGCAGCTAGTAAGTATGCTGGTATTTCCATTCATAAAGCGCGCCTACTTGGGTTAACTCCGCAGGTCCAGGGACAAACTTGCGCTTCGTTTTAACCGCGCGCAAGCTGGTCGCTGCGCTTGCCTCTCGGATGGCTTGAGATAATTGAGGTTTGAAGTAACTGTTTTGCAGGACTGGGCGGGACTGGTTCCTCTGCTTACCGGAGACGCCCCGCATGGAGAATGGTGGGACACCCTTCAGAGTGCATGTGTGGCGCTTACAAAGCGCCTTCCTGCTGACCATGCAAGGTAGGATACAACGCGCTCATCGCCGCATTACATGGATGCAATTGTTCGGGTCCAAGTGACAGTTGGAAACTTAACGGTTTCTTTCCTATGGTAGTGGCCGCCGCTGTGCTGAGAGGGCCGGGGCATATCGAAAGCCAACAGACGTAACGCCACAAAGAGTGATATTGTAGTGATACACCTTCTTGAAGGGAATCCGAACTGGGTCCACAGAAGCCAGCAGCCCGGGCTCTTGGTTGCCAGACGGTATGGGCCAAAGCCCAGGTTGCGGTGTGGCATCAGCCATGACTGACTGACTCCTTCCCCTCACCACACCAGGTGCCGACCAAGGGATTGCAATGAGGTCATAAAGCTAGCACACCTTTCTGTACTGGCTCACGTGTCCGGACTGATCCACATTTTTACACTATCGCACATTTTTTCAGTGACCCACATCCTTAGTCTCTTATCTTGTTTCTCAGCTTTCTTCTTTACTTGGACTCCCACTCCCACTCCCACTCCCACTCCCACTCCCACTCCCACTCCCACTCCCACTCCCACTCCCACTCCCACTCCCACTCCCACTCCCACTCCCACTCCCACTCCCACTCCCACTCCCACTCCCACTCCCACTCCCACTCCCACTCCCACTCCCACTCCCACTCCCACTCCCACTCCCACTCCCACTCCCACTAGGCTTTTAAACCTCCCCAACCCCAATCTATGTCTCCATCTCCCCTTAACCTCTTCTCCTTCATCCTGTTCTCCCATTCCGAACCCCCCAAACTTGTCCCCAAACATACATACATATAAACATATGTACATATGAACATATGAACATATGAACATACGTACACACAGCATCTTCATGATGGCGGGTGCTGGCGTAGCGGCGTTAGCCACCTCAGGGGATGTTCCCCTGCTGGGGTTGCGGCTGGGGCAGCTGCTACTGCCGGGCACGACAACCGCCTACAGCAACGGCACTTCGGACGACGACTCGTCTCCCCTGGGCGCTGCCTCCTCCCCTTACCCCTCCCTGGATGTGGCTCTCCTGGCGGCCACTTTGCAGGAACAGAGGGTGAGAGGGGCCGGGGCGTGTACATTGAAGTAAACATTACATGTTATTGTCATTGTTATTTCTATATTATAAATATATGATAGTTATATATGTATTATTACTATTTTTTACACGTACAAGTAATATGTATAAAAAAATCAGTACTCAGCAGGTATATATATACACCTGCTGAGTAGCAGATCGGGAGTGCCAGTTAGTGCGGGGCAGCGGGTTCTGTCTCATTCCCCATGTTCCCCATTCTCCCGACTCGATGACGTGGAAAGGGAAAACGCGCTCGTCACACGCTGACGGGGAGATGCGGCTCCTTCTGCCACATGATCCCCCCCACGCACACACCCCACACACGTGAAGAGGTTGGGGCCGAAGTGGCCCTCGTCGCCTGGGCGCGAGTAGTGGCACATGTGTGTGCTCTTGTAGGTGCTGATTGGTGGCAGTGAAGGACGGTCGGTGTTGAAAAAGGAGAGGGGTTGCGTGTTACCAGAAGAGTGTCGTAGGTAGGGGGCCGGCGCAGGGCGCAGGGCGGTTTACGGTTAGGGAGGAGGCGGGCGGTCAGGCGGCAGGAGGCCGAGGCCTGAGGGGGGGATGGAACCCGAAACTGGGACTCGCTTGAACGTCGGGCATTCAACGCCACATCGCCGCCCACCCTCTCACCGCCTCACCCGCAGGACCCCGTACCGCTGGTGTTTCGCTCCGTTGAGTTGCCTCATCAACATCATCATCATCATCATCAACAACAACAACAACAACAACAACAACAACAACAACAACAACAACAACAACAACAACAACAACAACAGCAGCAGCAGCAGCAACAGTATCGAAAGCAGCACTTGCAACAGGAACACCGCCCTCAGCAGCAGCAGCAGCAGCAGCAGCTGCAAGGGAAGCCAGCACGGCAACAGGAGACGGCTGCTGGCGCGGTGGTGGGCGGCGGCCGCTGCTGCTCCTCCCCCCCCCGTTCTGACCACTCGCTGCGCCATTTCGTGGCAGTGGGCATCCCCGGGGGCAAGTCCCTGTCTGGCATGTTTATTTTGTCGGCGACTGGTGGGTTGGGGCTGCGTGGTGGGGCTGCGTGGTGGGGCTGCGTGGTGGGGCTGCGTGGTGGGTGGGGGTTGATGGGGGCCCTGGTCTTGAGGCTACGTTTGGGTGCGTGGGGTGGACATGTGGATGTGGATGTGGGAAGGCAACACCTGGAGACCTCAGACCGCCCGCCCGAGAAGAAATCCCGACCCGGCGGCCCGGGTGCCCGGGCGGTGCCACCCGCCCATCCACCCATTAGCCTGAAGCAGTCGTACTAGCAGTTGCGCAGTCGCAGTTCGTCTCGATTCGCTGGGTCTCTTCGTCCTTCTCCTCTCCTTTTGATTCCGACATGTGCACACACACACACACACAAACATACATACATACACACTATAACTATACCACCCTGTAACAACATACACACATACAAACACACATACAAACACACATACATACACACATACATACACACTATAACTATACCACCCTGTAACAACATACACACATACAAACACACATACAAACACACATACATACACACATACATACACACATACATAAGGGCGCTCTCGTCCGTATCGTCCTGGCTGCTGTCCTGCCGCCCACTCGCAGGTGCCGCCCCTCCTGCCGCCTGGCAGTCCGAGGGGCTGGGGCTGGTGGCGGCACTGCTGGCCCCGCTGTTGCGGCCGCCGCAGGTGAGGGGCCCGTGGGTAGGGGCCTGGTACGAGGGGGGGGTGCGGCCCGTGTGTGCGCATGTCGGTCATCATGCATGTGTGTGTATGTGTGTGTATGAACGTTGTAAGCCGGGCCTGACACTGGCCAGGGACTGCTGTGTGAGTGTGTATGTATGTACGTATGTATGTGTGAATTCCAAAAAGTGGGTCACAGTTGCGCGCCCTGGGCCCCAGTTTCTCGAACCACAGCCGCACCATTCTGATGTTCCTGAGCGAGAGTGAGTGCGCCCATGTGTTCGTGTGCGTGCGTGTATGTGTGTGTGTGCGTGTGTGTGTGCGTGTGTGCGTGTGTGCGTGTGTGCATGTGTGCATGTGTGCATGTGTGCATGTGTGCATGTATGCGTGTGTGTGTGTGCCCAGCCCAAACCCCGTCCCGGCCTTGTTCTCAGGTTCCCCTGGCTCGCCGTACACTGGCCGAGCTGTTGGCCGCCTCCACCATCAACGACCTTGTCCACGCCCTCAGCGCCGCAGCGTTGGACCTGGTGGTGGCGGCGGTGAAGGTGGCCATGCAGCCAAGGGTGGCGCTGCTGAGGAACGTAAGTGCGTCTGTATGTATGTGTGGGGATGTATGTGGCCCCAGACCTATGTCCCAACAAAAGCGATAATGAAAGCGAAGACAACCATGTCACTCTACCTCCCGTGCGCAGGATGGCACGGCGGCGGCGGTGTTTGCCGTGTACGACGGCGTCATGGGTGCGGGTGGCGGCGGCGGCGCCAGTATGTCTGCGATGTGCCGACGCCGCAGTCGGGATGTGGTGATGGTGGATGCGGGGGGCAGCGGCTTCAGCACTTACAAACCTCCAGGTGTGTGTGTGGGGGGGGGGGATGTGTGCGTGTGTGCGTGTGAGGGGGATGTGTGTGAGCCAATCGGCCCCGGTTACGTCCAAATTTGCAACCCAAAGCGCTTGGGTCCCAAACATACATGTCCATTTGCATGTCCGCCTGTCTGTCCACAGATTTCTTCATGTTGGGGCAGCCCTCAGTTCTGGAGCGGGACAGCCTGGGAACAGCGGGACGGGACGGCACGGGCGCCGGCGCCGGCGGCGCTGCTGCCGCCACCACCGCCACCACCGCCAGCACGGGCGCCGGCGCCCGTCCGCTTCTCAGGGGTGTTGGTACGACGGACTGTTCCGTCCAGCGGCTCCAGGGAACGTTAACCACCACCGGAGGGGGGGTTGGGGGATGTGGAGGCGGAGGTGGGGGGGGTCCCTCGGGCGCCTCAGGGCCTCAGGGCGGCCCCGGGTGCCGGGGCCAGAGCCTGCCGCTGCAGCATACCCTGCTGGGGGAGGCACTGACCCGTGGGTCGGGGCTCTGCATTGCGGACTGTAACGCCTACGTGCAGGTGAGGACGTCGTCCAGTAGTGATGGAGCATTGTGTGTATTTTGCCATCGGGAGGAGTTGATGTGGCCTGGCGGTTTGAGGGCCCCTTGAGGGCCCCTCGTACACCGATTTGCTCAATGTTTTGCTGAAGCGAGCTCCCTCCCGTGTCTCTCTCCCTCTCTCCCGGTGGCGGCCCTCTCCGGCCCCCTCCACTCAATTCCCAAGCTCAATATCGTAATGCCATCTGGTTGGTAGTCAATGGGGGTGTGAACTCCTCCTCATTCCCCTGAATCTGGAATGGACTTGGCAGCAGCTGTAGCACGTAACTCGTTTTGCAACCCAGCTACGGCCACGTCGCCGCCAAGACTACCACTACTACTACTAATACTCAAATCATCGCTGGTCAGAAAATATACTCCTGATGCAGCATGTATCTTCTCCTCCTGGACTATTTCCGTCTATTTCTGGTATATCTGCTTCATTCGCCAGTGGTTCGTTATCATCCTCTCAACCTGGAGTGGGGTGGAGTGAAGATCGCCGCTTTCTCCAACCCTATGGGTAAACCACACGCACACGCACGCGAATGACGCACGCACGGCGCTGTGACGGTTCTCCTCCCGCCAAACAGTGTGTGGTCGTACATTCCATGTTGTACATTGCAGGACAGCAAGGCCCTTCCTCGCGACTTGATGATCTTCCCCCGGGGTGGGGTTGGAGGCGGAGGGACGCCCCCCCAGTCCCTCGCCCTGGCCACCTCTTGCCACTGCGGTCGGCCCCTCCTGGCGCTGTACGCCACCTACCACTCCATTCTGCCGCAGGCGCTGTTGCAAACGGTGGTGCAGGAGCTGGGGCAGCTGCTCAGGGTGAGAGGGTTGGGGGGGGGAACGGGGAGGGGGAGGGGGGGAAGAAGCAGGTTGGGGGGGAACGGGGAGGGGGAGGGGGAGGGGGGGAAGTGGTTTGACGATGCCGTGCCGTTGGTCGTGCATGGCTTTCTTGCTAACTACAACAACATGCACGCATAATACACACACGCTCCCAAAACACACACGCCCGCACAGGCACTCACCCCCACGGTCGCCGCTCTCTTGCTCCCGGGGGGCCCTATGGCGGACGAATGGAGCCTCCTGCATGACGACCTGCTGGGGCCCGCCAGTGTGGGCTTGTGTACCGGCAGTACGGCAGTACGGCAGAGGGCAATCAGCCCTATCATCTCGGCGACAACGACACCCGGGATGGCGGTGGCGCGGGCAGCCGCCGCGGCGGTGCACGCCTCGCCGTCGCTAATGCTAGCCGGACCAACGGCAACTGCGGCTGCTACCGCCGGCGCCGGCGCTATTGCTGGCGGCGGCGGTGGCGGCGGCGGCGGCGGCTCCGCTTTCGGCAATACGACTTGCGGCGGCAGCCAGTCTTTTAGATCCTCTGGGAGCAGCCCGGCCCCCGCCACGCCGACGGCGACGACGGCAGGGGCGGCGACGGCGGCGACGCCGCTTGGCATTATGGCAAATATCGGGGCCTTTTTTCGCCGTACCGGCCCCGCCGGCAGCGGCCGCCAGCCTGACACCAATAAGACCGATAACAACAAAAACGACCACCACACCAATAAAGAGCCAAACTCGCCAACGGCTACGACAGATTGCGGAGCCGCGGCACCGAATGATGTGGTCGTTACGGCAATGGCCGCCGCCGCCGCTGCGCTCACGGCCGATGCGGGCGCCGCCGCGGGTGCCGCCGCCGCCGCCGCCGCCCCCGCCGGCGTCGACAGCCGTGTCGATATCAACAGCACTGCTAGTAAGCGGCTCGCGGCGTTTGTGTCAGGTGGTGGAGGCGGCAGCGGTTTGCCTCCCGCCAGCGGCGTGCGTTCAGGCGTGAGTCGTACGGCATTGGCGCACTCGCATACGGGTCGTACATCGTTCTCCTTGGAGGCTGCTGGCAGTCCGCGGGGTGGGGTGCGCTTGGCGCCCCTCATCACGACGCTACATGACCGGTTGAAGAGCGCGCAGGTGGGCGTGCGTGTATGTGTGTATGTTTGTGTGAGTATTTGGGAGATAGAAGTTGAGGTGATCATGCGGTAACGGTATTTCTCTTCCGGTTTTCCTTACTTTCTTTCTTTCCTTCCTCTTTTCCTTCTTAATCTGACCGGCTCCACAACTGCCTTTCACCCTCAGCCCGCATTGGCCCTCCCCCCCCCTTGCGGCCTCTCCCCTGCGCGTCATTCCCCGGCACTCCCCGGCAGCTCACTCCCCACTTCCACTCGCATATGTTGACCCCCCAACCCTAATGTTGTCCCCCCCCCCCCCGACACAACTCCCCCTGCGGGGCCTACGACGACACGCTCCTTGCAGGCGGAGCAGCTCACGAGCCACAGCCGCGCCGCCTCCCGCCTCCAGGACCTGGAGAGCCTCCGCTTCCTGGAGAGGGTGGGCAAAGGGGGGTACGGCTCCGTGTACCGCGGGCTGTACCACGGGTCGGAGGTGGCCATCAAGGTGCGTTGGAGGGGGGGTTCCTAGAGGGACTGGAGGGGGAAAGACGAACCACGAGCGAGTGAAGCTGCTGCCAAGGCAAGAGTGTACCAGAAGTAGGACTGACCAAAAGGCGTTCTTGAAGGCGGCGACCTCGGGATGATGTGTGGGACAGGGGGGTGTATCTTCGCCCGTGGCAGCTACCCTGCGAAACCCTGCCTTCCCCGGTATTTCGGGGCACCCTCATCCAGTCACTCTAGTCATCTTCTCAGTGGATCGCTCAGATTCTGCACCAACTCCAGCATCCAACGGAATCTGCCGGGTCGACAGCGGCACAACTCCATTCCTGGTCGGCTCGCAGGTTAACTTTATCCCAGGTCACCACCGTCCATCAACTAGGGGCGCATACCTTCCACCATTGGAAGGATTTTTGACCCTAATGGATATCGATCCCGGGATCTCCCGGGGGCAGTGGTCGCGCCTTACCAGTAGTGCCAAACCCTAGTATGATGATGTAGTGAAGATGATGTGGGAAAACCACCTACCTAGCCGCCAAGACTTAAATAAGCGCGGAAAAAAACGCAGTACTGCCAAGCCGTAAAGAAGTTAAGATAGGTGTATAGGCGGCGGAAAAGTAGTAAAAAACTGCTGACGTGAAGCTGAAGGGAATGAAAGGGGGGAGGAGGGTTTGGCTTTGCAAAGGAGGGGGAAGGGTCCAGGGGGGGTTCCTCCCCCTCCCCCTCACCACTCGTAACTCCACATCGGACGCCTTGATTGGCACTTGGGGGCCAGCTTAGGGCGCCATGTGCCATACCTACTAGGCATGAAGGGCCTTACTCCCACCGCCCCCGCCCCTACCTGCGAAATCCTAGCTCCCGTTAAATTTCCCTTTTCGTTGAAGCTGTTTGTACTTTGTTGTACAGGTGGTGGAGGACCCTGGGCTGGGCAGTGCAGCAGCCGCGCCCAAGTCGCCTTCCATTGAAGCGGCTTACGCCGCCGGGGTTGCCGCCGCCGCCGCCGCCGCCAGTGGGGCTCTGCGGGCGAAGCACCTGCACGACGCCGTTGAGCTGGTGGCGTCTGTGTCGATGAGGTAAGGGACCTCCCTGCGCTTTGTACGACAGTCTGGACCATGGTATCGTATACTACGCCTATATATATATATATATATGTCTGGCCTGTCACGCTACCTGTTGAACACTTTCATTTTTCCTGACCTTGCTGTTTCAGTTTTTGAATTGGCGTCGTCGCCCTCAGCCAGTTCTCATCGGTCAGTTCTCTCCAGCCCTAATTAGCATAACCCCCCTCCCCTCTCTCCTCCCCCGCCCTTTCTTCTTCCCCACTCCCCTCTCCCCCCGCCTCCCCCCCTTCTTCCCGCCTTCGCCCAACCCCTACCCAGCCACCCCAACATTGTACAGCTCATCACCTACTTTGTGGACCTGAAGGCACACCACCACCAACGAACCAAGAAACAGACGGCAACCACCACAACCACCACCACAACCACCACCACCACTACCACCGCATGCACCCGACCTGAAGGTGGAGGTGGGGCTGAGGGCGGCCATGTCGCCACAGCCACCGCTGTCGGTACCGCCCCAGCCACCACCAACGCCGACACGGGCGCTGACGGTGAATCGGATTTCCTGCAGCTCGTCCACATGAGCTCATCGGGACTGGATTCCACCACCAGCAGTTTCACAGGTGAGTGCCGTACGGTACCGGTACGGGATGGTGGCCTGTTGCCGTACGGTACCGGTACGGGATGGTGACCTGTTGCCGTACGGGAGTAGTGTTGATTCTTTCGTCTTCGGGTATGGTATAGGCGGTTGGGAAGTTGGTGGCGTGGCCTTTTGATGTCAGTTTTTTCTTTGTCACAGCGCGGAATTGGTGCTATGCCGTATCCACGAGAGTTTGTTGGTCGGAAATGTCGTGGTGCTGCTGTTGCTGCTACCTTTGCGACTATTGTCACTGCTGCTAGCTAGTGTCGCTGCTGCTATTGTTGATACTGTTGCCGCCGCCGCTTACTTTTCCTGCGCTCCTAATGGATGCATGAATGCATGAATTGCAGTCTTATCCGCCTCTCCGTACTCCCATACCCCGTACCTCCCCACCCTGCTCCCTCCGTTCAACCCCCGGGGCCCTGCTCAACCCCGAAGAGCCCGCTGGCAACGAGGCGATTGTCCTCGTGATGGTGGGTGCTACGTGGCTGCCGGGGGGAAGGGGGGGGGAGGGGGAAAGCCCCAGAGGCCCGCATGGCGAGGAGCGGACCTCCTGACGGGTGGTGGGGCAAGGTTTCGGAGCAGTGTGCCAATAGCAGAGCGACGGGGGCAGGTAGCAGGGGTGAAGGTGGGGCTCCCCCTGCATTAGCGACGGCAGCAGTAGTAGCAGTAGCAGTAGCAGCAGCAGTAGCAGTAGCAGTAGCAGTAGCAGTAGCAGTGGCAGTAGCAGTAGCAACGGTAGCCTTGTATCGCCTTACATCTTCGTGCCTGGCACTGTAATGCTCTATGGACCTCCCACCGACAGGTTGCAAGCAATGTGCTGTGACCGTATTTGTGTTCCTAACCTTCTACCCTTCTACCCCTCTACCCTTCCCACTTGTGCTTCCTGCATACGCTACTCTCTCCACCCCTCCCCCCCCCCTCTTTCTCCCTCTCCTCCCCCCTTTCGCCCCTCGCCCCCACGCTGTAGG